ATGGCAACAGCTCTCCTTAACACAAGATGAAATTAAGAGCTAACCAGGGGTAGAAGCAAAGGGCTGTGGAAATACATAGGAAGGAGAGAATATTCTGACTGCAGGGGGAAAGCTTCCATGGAACAAGGCAGCAGAGTGAGCCAGACAGAGCTCTGGAGAGAACACAGTCTAAAGGCACAAATAACTGTGTGAGTAAAGACAGAGGCAGGCCAGGCCAGCCTTGCTCAGGGCACTGCCATAGTGAGATGTGGCCAGAGTTGGGGTGGGCAGTGGGAGAGGAAGCTACAGAAGCTAGGGGTGGCAGCCTGGGTTTTGTCATTCTAGATTTTTGGGGATTCTGATGGTACATAAAAAGAGACTTAAGGGGAGCTGGAAGCATGATGCTTTGCTGACCCAAAGACCAGGTGACAGGAAAGACACCTATGTGAGTGTACAGTTAATTGCAAAACCTCTGAACACCTCTTGAGCAAGGCCCACCCCTTCTTCCTATCCACTGTTGTCCTAGTCTGACATGGCTATGGTGTCAAAGCAGCAAGGACTCAGAACGAGGGGCCAGAATCTTGGGTTTGTTCTTAGGGTGAGAAGGTGATTCCCCAGCTTCTATGGTTTAAATGTTTATGTTCCCCCGAACACATATGTTGGAAACCTGCCCTCCCCCATGTGAGCGTAATAGGAGATGGGGTCTTCAGGAAGGTGCTTTTTTTCTTTTCTTTTCTGTCTTTCTTTCTTTTTCCTATTTTTATTGGTGTGTTATAATTATACATAATGGTAGGATTCACTGTTAATGTATTTGTTCATGCACATAATACATTAATATAATTTGGCCAATATCACTCCCCGGTATTTTGCCTTTCTCTACAGTCCTTCCTTGGGGAGGTGCTTTATAGTAGAGGCCCTATTTGGATTAGTACCCTAATAAAAGAGGCCTCAGAGAGTTTACTTGCTGCTTTTACTATGTGAACAAGGTGCCACCTATGAGCCAGAGAGCTGGCCCTCTTCAGACACTGAATCTGTTGGTGTCTGGATTGTGGAAATTCCAATCTACAGAACTGTGAGCAGTAAATTTCTGTTAATTAATTATTCGGTCTAAGGTATTTTTCTATAGCAGCCTGAATGGACTCCAACACTATTCCTCTGGTCCAGGATGATTTGCCCACACTGGCTCAGCAGGACAAGTTCAGGCCTGCTTGCACCCTTACTGCATCAATCCAATCCAGGGAAACAGTGTGCCATTCATAGAAATTCTGTTTCTAGAATGTTTTGGAAGTGCTAATTTTTGTAGAACGTTTGTTTGGGTTGGATTTATGTCCCCCCACCCCATGAAAGATGTTGAAGTCCTAACTCCCTGAAACTTATGCATGTGACCTTATTTGGAAACAGAGACTTTATAGAATAACCAAGTTAAAATGAAGTCTTTAGATTTGGTCCCAATTCTGTATGACCCATATCCTTACAAAAAGGAAAAATGTGGACAAAGAGATAAACACACACAGAGGAATGATGGTGTGAAGTTACTGGGGGAATGTTGCCATGTGGTCAGAATGATGCACCTGCAAGCCAAGCACTACTGTCAAGTGCTAGAGGCTAGCAGAGGTAAAATGTTCTCCCTTAGAGCCTTCAGAGGGAGCATGGCCCTGTGAAACCTTGACCTTGGACTTCCAGCATTGAGAGCCAGAAGTCAATAAATTTCTCTTGTTTTAAGCTGCCCAGTTTCTGGTTATGGCAGCCTAGAGGACTCATGAGACCTTGTTACACCATTAGTCTTATAGAACAACAAGTCCTTTGTTCATGCACAATCCTGGGCCTTCCCTCAAGTGAGATAAAGAAGAATAAGAGAACAGCTGAGTTCCAGATATTTTCATGGCTGCATCCTTTAGGCCAGTAATTTAATCTTCTGAAGCCTCAGTTTCCTGACCCGTACAATGAGAATGACAGGAATAGAGCTGTGGGGGATAAATAAGATAATATATTAGGGAATAATGTTTCTAACATTTTAAGGCTCTAAGAGCAATGTTGTGTTGGATTATCCCATTAAACTCTATTCTAGGCCAATGAGGCAGCCATTACTATCCTCCCTATTTAATGGACATGTTGACTGAAGGCCAGAAGTCACCTGCCTCCCATCACTGAGGCCAGTTAATAGCCATGCTAGCACATGCTAAGTCATGTGGCACAAATTTTAGGGGTATGGATGTGGTTTTCCTCTGGATTTACTTGACTTCTTACTGTGAGGTTCTGAAGGTCTATTTTTTCTTTGTTCCAGCTGCCAACCTATGAGCACATCTCCATGGGCCTATTTTAGGAACTTAGGTTTTCATGCACCTCTGGAAGCACACAGCAAATGTCTCTTCATCCAATGGACATGAAGCTCAGCTATGCTGGTCAGGTTCTTGACAGAAAGGCCCAGATGTGCCATCTTCCTACTGGATCCTGATCTCACCTTAGCAGAGAGGGGAATAATGATTCTCCCTCCATCCCTCACCAGGCCCCTATACCATTCTACAAGAGCAGGTGGGGTCTGTGTTGGGATTCTTTTAGCTAAATATAATAAAGTCTGCACCAAGGTGCTCAGGGCACCTTTTTATTTTTATTTATTTATTTATTTTAAATTTTTTCATTAGTTGCTCAAGACGTTACAATGATCTTGACATTTCATACATTTGATTCAAATGGGGCACGTAATCTTATGTTTCCACGTGTACAGATTGCAGGATCACATTGGTTATACGCCCACGTTTATACATAGGGCCATACTAGTGTCTATTGTATTGTGCTGCCCTTCTATCCCCCCTCCCCTCCCCTCCCCTCCCCTCCCATCACCTCTTTCTACCCAATCTACTGTGACACGTTTCTCTCTCTT